TTAAGTAAAGAACTTGTGTCGCTAAAGTTTCGTCGGAACGAAGTTACGGAAAGTTAATTAAAAAACGGAGACGTAACAATATCAATATGAAAAAATATAGGGTTCATTCATTACCAGGGTTTATTACTGGGTTTAAAAAGGGCAAAGAAGCTTGTTAACATAAAAGAAAATAATCCAATACAGCTAACATAACATTTGAGGAACAAGGAACCCCTTGAACTATCATGGCTTCCCATTCCGTTCATTAAATGCTACTCTGCCTATATCGAGCCCTAATTTTATCAATATTCATAAAGCCTTCTGTTGAACTCTTCCAATCGTGTTGAATCTTCTATGTTTGAAAATAATCTCATCTAAAAGTTGACCACCCTGCTCAGAAACAATTTTTTTAATTTGCAAACAACTTTTGCCCTGCCAAATCTTAAATCTTTACCCTCTAATCCTTACCATTCTTACTATTAAACATCTAAAAACATGATGCATTACTCCTATCTATTACTTTAATCATTTGAACACTTCAATTAGATCCTCTCTATCCTTTCTTTTATCATGAGAAAAATCATTTAAGGACCTTAAACTGACATCATATGATAGCCCCTCAATTCAAGGAATTATCCTAGTAGTGAACACAGTACTCCAAATGAAGTCTAAACAGGAATGTATACTAAGATGAGATAACCTTCTTTAACTTATAATCAATGTTCCTGTTGATAAAACCAAAAATCCTATTTGCTTTCCCACTGGTAACAGTACACTGCTTGAAAGGTTTAAGAGATTGATTGATCAAAATACCTAGATCCTTTTCTTCCACAATACTATTGAGTTTATTCCTATCATTGTGGTAGTTATACCTTATAGTAAGGTAACCCACATGTATTACTTTGCACTTAACATAATTACATACCACCTGTCATTTATTTGCCAAATGTTACAAATCCCTTTGTAAAAAATAGCATCCTCCACCCAAAACATCAATACCATCTTGAAAGTTGATTAACTTGTTGACTATCTCCCTATCAGTGATGTTTATGCATATAAAAAGGCACTTTGTTGAAAGCCATCCAAAAATCCAAGTTTACCACATCCACACCTTTACCAGTATTTCAATTGGGATTTTGAAAGAAGTGGAACTACCTTTTGTGATTCACTCTATAAAAGCAGTGTGATACACCAAAGATCCTTTTTCTTCCAATCAGAAAACCACGAATGCTAATGGCTAGAATTCTCAAGAGGTGAAAAGCTGTTTTGGATTGTTCCATCCCAATTTAACACCTGACCTTTACCATCATCAACATAAGCAGTGACATCTTCAAAGAAGGTCAAAATATTCATGAGACGAGATTTTCCCCATGGGGAATCATGCTGGTTATCCAACAAAACTTGAAGCTTGGTTAGGTGACTTTGCAAAGCATTTTTAATCAGTTTCCCCAAAACTTTTAAATAAAATTACGACTAATTGGTCTATAATTACATGAACAATGTTTGCCATCTCCCTTAAAATTAAATGTAATATTATTCAACTTCGAGTCATACATTCCCTTCTCACTACTCAAAAACTCACAAAAGCATCTTAGTATAAGGCTAATTTATAAAATCCTTAACCTATCTTAGTACCCTTGGTAAAATATTATCTGACCCAGGAGCCGTGTCATTTTTTAAAGTTCATGCACATCTATCATATTTCCCACTAGTGGCTTCTCAGGATCTGGAATACTGTTTATATCTCCTCTACTTAAAACAGAAAGAAAAAAATTTAGCAACTCAGTCATTTAATAATCTTCTTTAATAACCCTTCCTTTAACCTAATTCTCATTTTAACATTGTGCTTACCTTTAATGTATCAAAAGAAATCCTTAATGTTAGTTTAAGATTTCTAGATAATATTTTATTCATATGCTTTTCTGATTTTTTAATATCCTCTTCAACCAAATCTTGATTGTCTATAATTCCCTATGTCTCCCATTTTAAAAGTTGTTACTTAAACATTTTAAATTTGTAATGTTTATATTTAATTTTCTTCCTAATACATCCAATAAGCCACCCTCATCTGTGACTTGCAACCACCCCATTTTTTATTTCTCTGTGGAACATATTTATCTTGAACAACTTATTTTTAAAAAACCTCTCATGACTGACAAAGCATTTCAATTTAAGTCAGGATCTATTCCTATCTCATCCTTTCACAGTAAGCCTTCCCAAAATTGTTTACCAAAATATTATTAATACTCTTGATCTCGATATGTAAAACCGTCTTATACCTATTTGTACAATGATCACTTGTACCCATATGCTCCCCATTAACCATATCCACATTGGAAGCTAGTAATAAAGTTAAGATAGCACCTTCTCATGGCAAATTCCTTAATCATTTGATGAAGAAAACCATCTTGGAACAGTTTCCAATAATTAACCTTTCACCTTTGCTGTTTGATACTAAAGTCTTCTAATCAATACGCCTAAAATTAAAATTTCTCATGATAACACCTAGTCAACTGCTGCATTCTTGATGAAATTAACAACAAATTATGTAACAACATCAAACTGGTCATGCGGTCTGCAACAGGTTCCAACTGAAAGCTTTTTATCCTTATATTTACATCAGAGGCCCATACTGATTCAACTTTTTTATCCTCTTTAATATCCTCCACTTCAACAGGCTGTACTCTACTAAACAGCCTGTAATCTTGTATTTCACATAAATTTCTAACATCACAATTTTCTAAGTACTACCAAGTCTTCATAATTCTCAAAATATAAAAATTTTCTATTCTAATAAGAGCTTTAAATTCATTAAATAATAACAAGTAAGCCATTTCTTGAGTCAAGCACTTTACTTTGTTCTTACTCTGCGATCTTCCACATACTTTGTTTGTTTGCTTTTTTGCATTTATTTTATCTTAGCACTCTTTTGTTAAGCCCTAGTATAAAGTTTCCCTTAGAGTTGACTTGATAGCTCTTAAAAACAGGTCCAATCCAACCTATTCAATATATATCATCCATTCCAAAAATGTTCTTATCTCAATCAAATTGATTCCACAAATTCATCCAACTTATCTGTTAATTTTTACACAATGAATTAAGATCTACTTAGAATCGCATCCCCACAGTTAATAACCACAAAAACTGTCTTTTCACTTTAAATGCCTTTATCAGTTTCCTGTACTTTTTAATTAACTCCTCTGACCTACCCCTTCCTATATCACAGGGGCATTACTAGATACTTAACATATTCAGGGCTTGGGCCCATAGGCATGAAATTTTTTTGTGTTTCAGTATGATATCAATCATTGTTTCTATTCTGATTTTTCAAGATACCAACTGGGGATTCAGGGCACTGTCAAACAGAATTGGGATATGGACCTCATGTCCAGCTCATAGCAATGCCTCTGCTACATCATCAGCATCTACGTGAAAAACATATACTACATTACTGCTAATGCCCTTAGTTACCTCACTCACTCTGTCTATTGTGTCCTCCAACACTGCCCTTAGGTAAAAATAATCATATTCTTTTCTTCCTGTTCACCCCACAGATTATCCTACCTAAATGCCATACCTAAAAATCATCTACAACTATAACCTCTTAAAGTTTTGCATTACCATTCCTATCTGTTTCTTCTGTTTTCCTTTCCTTATTAGAACCTGTTAAATTTACTATTTCTAGCCCTAACACTGTTTCTCACTTCCTAAATGTAATTTTTAGCTACTGTATATGTTGCTTTTAAAAGCATTATTTCCTCTCTAATTCCTGCTAGTCAAAAGCACAATTAATTCAGAATAATAAATAATCAAAAAGAAAGAAAAAACAAGACTAAAAGCTAAGAAAGTATATATATATTTTTTCCTTATACACTCCTGACTATGTTTTTGTTTGGCATTTAAAGCTAAGCTACTAAGATTATTTCCCACTATCCCTAATTATGAACTACTAAACAGAGGAAAGGCAGGCAGGCAGGCAGCACCCTACCATCAACCATCCATGCTATGGGATCAACTGTTACCCTTACAATGCACCAATAGCTTAAATTGCAGAGAAAAGTTTATGATATTGCACAGAGCCAAACCTGGCTCACCAACTCCAAAATCCATTCCTGATATAGTTCTAAAAATAAACTCTAGTATGTCTTTTTATTCAACAAAAATAATCACACCTTACAGACTTATCACTATTATTAAGAGGTTATTGGCTAAAGTCTCAATGTGAGTTTTAAAAAAATTAATAAGGAATTTTGAAATACGTTGGTCAGTTTAATCCAATATTCTAAAATCAGTCTAGCTTTGACAGGTCTTCCTTTAATTTTTAATTCATGTTGTAGAACTAAACACCATTGTCTTAAACTTCTGATCTTATCATAAAACCTATTTCTGATACCATAATATGAAAGTATATTAGCTGATATTAGATTACAAAATTAAAATTAGGACCAGCCTGTCATGATATGATAATTGGCATAAACAGACTTCTACATATGCAGCTTGTCTACAAGAAGATCTTCAGACTATGTTAAAATGGTCAATTGCATGGCAGAAGCTTTTTAATCCTGAAAAGTGTGTTTATTTACATTTGTGGTTCAACAATGAACAAAATGACTATTTTCTAAGTGACAATTTAATTGAATCTATTAATGAAGAAAAAGACCTAGGAGTAATTATTCACAAATCTCTTAGTGTTATTAGATGATGTGCTAAAGCTGCAAAAGCCACAAATCAGGTTTTAGTAGGTAGGATTATAAAAACTAGTCAAAATAAGAAATGTAATGTGATGCTTAGGTTATACAAATCACTTATCAGACCTCACATGGAATATTGTATCTAAATATGGCATCTATATCATCAAAAAGATATAGATCTACCTGAACAAGTTCAGAAGAGATTTTCTAAGATGGTAACAGTAATCATAATCTTTCTTATTGAAGTAGGTTACAGAAATTACATTTCACTACATTTGAAACCTGTCATTTAAGGATTGATTTAATTGAGATCTTTAAAAATTTTAAAGGCTTTGAACCATTAAATGCTGCAGATTTCTTTATAGTTAATAATTCTATAACTAGAAGCCACCAGTATAAAATATAAAAGCAAAGCTCCAGATTAGATTTAAGGAAGTTCTTTTTCTCTCAAAGAGTAGTGGATGTGTGGAATAATCTTCCAATTGAAGCAGTTTCTGTGAGCAATCTAAATGCATTTAAATGCCACCTCCAAAGACATTTAAGACAGAAAGAGGAGGCTCATATGAGTCAGTGTACAGCCAGCTCCCTGCCCTGTCACCCTCCACCCCTCCTCAACATGTGAAAGAGTAGAGGATACAAGGTAAACAAGGTAGACTGCCTAACTTAATACATATAATAAAAAACATATTGCTTTCTGCATCTGCATACCACCTGCTGAAGTAAATTATATAACCCCAATGTAAGCAAAACTGTTGGTAAATAGTTTCTCAAGTAAAACAAAAACAAAAACTAAAGTGCACAGGAGTTCCAGAACTCTTAGACCCCCCCCCCCCTCCTCTCAATAAATGTGGGTATGGGTTTAGTTACCAAATGTGAGGTGATATTTTTCTTATTACAAACTGTAAAGTTGAAAAAGTGAAGAAAAATCAAGAATTAAATTTGGTTAGAAAGCTGAATACTTGACCTTCAACTCTTGTTTCAGAGAGGACATGAAAAGTGTGTGTGTGTGTATATATATATGAATAAAATCTATATATACAATTTATAACAAAACAAACAACTGAAATTGAAAGTTAAGCTCAATAAAGTTGAAAAGTGCCATACAAATTGCAAACATCAACTAGCTGGATATACTAGATGACAAATGTGTGGTACAGTAAATTAAGTAATTACTATATTAGTGTAATATAGTCTATAAGATATAAATTGTGACAGCTAGTACTTGGTTGCTGCAACCATAAGTGCAAAAATAACACTCAGTGTCTCTTATACCAACAAAAATTTACTTTTCAGACTAACATGCCCTGTAAACATAACATAACTTGTAAGTCGTAATTGCGTAAAAAGTGTAACTTGTAAGATTAGGAAGCACCGAATGTCATTTTTCCAGCACATGCTCTATTAATTTTTTTATTAACAATAACACGCACATCGTGTAAAATATCCAAAAGCTCATACAAATTGATAATAATCTGTAAAACAAAAAACAAATCGAGTTTCCATAAGTTTCTTACACAAAACAGTCTTATGGCACTTACATAAACGGTGGGCTTCCACTGAATGTCTCAAACGTATTTCCATCAATGCACGTATCCTACATTTTCTCCATCATTCTAAATGCTAAGCACCATGCACAGCGCATAAGGATGCGTGTTCTAGTAACTACGGTAACTACCAATACTCATGCGTCGACTTGGATATTAACTAATAAATTGATTATTTGAATATTAAAAAAAAGAAAAAAATGTTTTTATTTCAAATATAATAAAACTTGAAAACGATATTTATTTTATTTTCCACGTTATTTTACATTTCATTCGCAAGCTTTTGGTCTAATTTTCATATGTGACTTAAGTTCAGAAGTATGCTAGTCCAGGCATAACTAAGAATCTATCGTGCGGCATTTTATTATGGCTAAATGATATATACATACATATATACATCGGTCGAATATTTTGAATAATACACACCGAATAAAACCTTTGATCATTGATCTTTTATATTTACTTCATGATGAAAAAAAAACTAAACAAAAAACGAATCAGTAAAAATAAAAATGAAATCAAACAGCTGAAGATATATACGATATTGGAGTGTCAATTTGATGTCAAAAATGAAACAAAAAAATATTCGTAGATTATGTACAACAAAGTACTGTAACACTAAATTTCCATTCGATACGGTTTGTTTGTTATTTAAGCACAAAGCTACAAAATAGAGTTTGAGCAATGTGCTTGTCAAAGATTTAATCGTGAATTTTAGCATTATAAATGTATGGTCTGGGGGTTCAGGCGCTCGACTTGCAATCTGGGTGTCGCAGGTTCGAATCCCCATCACCGACCATGCCTCCTATTCAGCCGTGAGAGTGTTATAATGTCACTGTCAATCCCTCTATTCGTTGATAAAAGAATATCCGAAGAGTTGGTGGTTGGTGGGTAGTTTTGCGCGAAATTCAAAACATACCACACTAAGCATTATAAGTACTCAAACCCACTGCTAAGCAAGAGGAGATGTTCGAAATCAAAAGAAAGGCGTATTTTTCGAGAGGCCTTTTAACTTTTTTTGTTACTAATAGGCCCCTCACGAGCCAATGGGGGACGTCTTTGTGAAAAAAACAAAAAAACAACAACAACTACCCAATCCCGTTTTTTATAATTTGAACTGAAATATTATGGGCACTTTTATTGGCGAAAAAGAAGGCATTTACCGCATCTCTTAGCATTGGGGCTGCGAAAAGTGATTTGAATCGCTGTTTATGATCTATCTAGACATTTAATACCATATTGGTTACGAAGACTAGGATCTGCTGAATGAGGATATGATGGGTTATCGTTGACTGTGATGTTGATCGTATATTACTGGCCACCTCGGCGTAAGATCGTTGTTGAATTTTACTTGGTATAGCTGGCTGAAATGTTTTCGTTGCGGTTGCTACATGTTCGATGGGTTGTTGAGTAGGTTAATTGCTTCTTGAGTCTTGTAGAGTCTTTTTGTTTGTATGGGTGGTGTTACTGTGGCTTGCTGTTGTGCAGGAGGGAATTTTAGTTGTATCATCTTGTTCTTCTTTAGTGTTATTACCTGGGCAAACTTGGAGCAGCCTCTATATGACGCGGTGTGAGATCCACCACAGTTGGTGCAGCACGTTTCTTCTTTATCCTTGGGGCATTCCGCAATATGGTGTAATCGGCCGCATCTGACGCATCTTGGAGATGCTGTACATACTGCATGGGCGTGGCCAAAAGTCTAATAATTGTAACACTGTAGAGCTCTGGTGGGTGCTGACTGATCGGAGATAATTTTGACTGCTTGAGAGATGTTCTTGATCGTGGCTTGGACTATTGGTGTAACTTAACTAGTCTTGAAGGACTTGATTCTGCCGACATGTGTTGTCTCGATTCCCTGACTGTTGAAGTATTCTATAATCTCCTCATGACTGATGTCACGATCGACTCCTCGGATGACGATGGACTTCGTGGGTACTGGCTTTTCAGCTACATGAATTTTGAACTTAATATCTCCAAAGGCTTTGGTGGGCCATGGCTTGAGAAGTGTAGCATAATCCCTTGAGTGTTGGCACTTAATAACTAGACCTCTGCGAGCTAGTCGTCGGACTTCAGAAAACGTCGTTGCCAAGAACAGAGACTTTAGATGACTGATTATTTCAGGCTGGCAGTACGTTGCTGGTATTCCTTCCATTATGATGACTGGAAGAGATGCTGGTTGCTTTGTTGTCGTTGATGCTGGAATAACTAGTTCCTGACTGATTAGCTCTGTAGTGGTAGTATTGTTGTTGAATGGTCCTGTTGGTGGCGTCTTCTGGCTAGTGTTCTGTTCTACTGGCTTTGTCGGTGTGTCCGAGATACTGGTCGATGTGGTACTGGAGTCGAGGTCCATGGGCGATGCCGTGATGTATGAGTCGGACATTTATTCTATTATGATGGATAATAACTGGGTTTGAGATAACACAGATAATGAAGGGCCGGCGGTTCTTGGTCGCATATTTCTGAAAAGAAATGATTAGTAGCCCTGAAAAGAGCTGGTTGTTTTCTAACAAAGGTTACTATAACAATTGGTTGTGAAAATAAGATACAACTTGCTCTTAATTAGTTGACTTACTCCAGCTTTTCTTCTGTGGTTACCTAGTGGAATAATAACTGAAAGTAAAAACCACGTCCTATCTCCTTGTAAAACCTGTTTTGTCCATACAACACCATCCCGAGGTCGCGGTTTAAAACCTAGCAGTAGCTGCACATAAAGAACGTCAATGAAGATGACGACACAAATACTCTCTTTTAGAGGCTATATAATATAACATTGTTTATATAAGTCATTCGATATGGATTGCTAGGTTGTCTATATATCCGATATTTTGACGTATAAATCCAGTATAAACGCAACTCAAGTTATTGAAATCTATATGCTGAGTTTTGATAAACAATGATAAATACTATTTTTTTTTCATAAGAAAAAAGAGTGCATAAGCGGCCCGACCCTTGAAAGGGAGCGCATCATCTTTGGAAAGGGGGCGCCAGACTCATGTCAGATCAGTGAAGTGGGGGAACTTCCCACAGTTCCCTCCTTAAATCCGCTACTAGCTGGAAGCCTTTGCTAAAGAATACGATAGTGAAGATGTATTTGATCAAGACAAAATGTGTTATCCTGAATACTGACCAAAGGAAGAAGAGCGTGATATTCATTTTGGCGACAGAAAAGTGAGATATCTTTGCCAAAATCTAAATAGTGCTAAATAGAGAGTGTAAAAGGATTTCGCGAATACAAGGAATGCAAAGCTGACCATATTCCCATTGCCTTAGAACCACTTTTGAAAGTCGGCAGAACTATTGCTATTTCAACAAATTTATGTGAGCAAGAGTTCAAATGCATGAATGCCATTTTGATTTAAAAAATAAATGCTCTAGCCGAAAGCCATGTATCCAGTCTTGTATTTTCAAACTGTAATGGGCCGCCATTCCATAAGTTTGACCACTGAATTAAATTAAATCCTGGCTGTTAAAATGAAGACGCAGTTCTGACGAGATAGCTTGTCACTCTTCAGGCCACGAAGAGTCAACATGCGAGTCGCTATGGAACTTATTCTTACGGCACTCTTCAGTGAGTAGCGGAAAGTGTACAGACTTAAAACGCTAGAATCAGGGGTGAGATTCCCCTCGGTGGACACAGCAGATAGCCATATGTGGATTTGGTTTGAAAATACACACTTTTTTAATACTTATATGTTCAAATATTTTAAGTATTTTTTAAATGTTTTTAAATAGTTATTAATGTAATACATCTTCACTGTATCCTCCAGAATACTTGGGAATATGGATTAAGTAACACTTCATAGCACCTGCCCCCCCCCTAAAAAAACAACAACAACAAAAAACAAATTGAGTATTGGCCAATTTTGTTTTTCATTTCAAGCACTGGTTATTATTCTATTTGTTGAAAATATCCCTTATTTTACTTTCAATTGCTTCAGGGACATTTCCAATATTATTGATTTCTTCCTGTCATTCCACTTCCAACACGGATGAAAAGGAAGACACACATTCTGATGATACTTTAACATCAGATGTAAAAATATATATCCTTACCCGATGAATGCACACGTAAGTTAAGAAATGTTGTTTTATGTATAACTAATCTTTTGTTGGCAGGTCCCGTAACAATGGAAAATAATAATAATACAGTGTAGTAACATTTTAAACCCAATATCTCTAATATATATATAACTTTCACATTGTATTCCATTGATAAGGTCACTAGTGAAGCTACTTGTAATTTTTCAACATAAATAATATTGCGTTAGAGGGTGTTTATGTGCAAGTAGAATGGCGTTAGAAATGGAGGTAGTTTCGTTTCAATGGTTTATTTAGACGAAAGGTGTGCTCGAAGGTAACAAAAATGTTCGAATGCTTTACATTATTAATGCAATTCACTTGTAGCGTTTTTGATTCTATTGCTTTTAAGATACAGGTATTTGTAATTAAACTAATGACACAAGTTACACTGTCAATATTGTCATCTAACCTCACGTCCTAAGTAGGACGTAAAACAAAAAAATACGGTAAAAAACTAAATAAATGGCGTAATGTATCACCGCACTTTAGTTTAACGTAATGCTTGAAATATAACGTTTGAGAATATCGTTAGCTGTTTTGAAAACTTATGCACTCTATCTAACGATGTCGGAAGAATTATATATATATATAATTACACTTACAGGTGAAATGTTTACATGGACTCGGAAAGTCGAAGGTATTTAGACGAAAACTAAAATAAAAATCCAGCTAGGCACCATTTTAATTTTACAATAAGTTGTTTTTTTTATTAATATTAGTGCAAAGCTACACAATGGACTATCTAAACTCTGTCCATGGTGGGGAATCAAACCCGGGATTTTAGTGTTTCAAGTCGTAAACTTACCACTGACCCATTGGAGGATACACTTTTTACAATTTGACAGTCATACTGTTTACAAATTACAGTTGTACAGTGTAGCAGAAGAAATTCTTATAATGGAGTGTGATATCTCACTAAAGTATAAAGAATGAGAAAATAAACATTCCTATTAACTTAGTTTAACTTTAATAAGAGTATAAGTTAAAACAAATGTTAAAATATTTACTGATTATAAACATAATCTGTTAACATCAGTTATGTTCTGAGGGGAAGAGCCATATTCCTACATTCTTGCACAATTAGTAGAAAAACCATGCACTGTGTTACTTACATTGTACACCTGTCTTTGTTGACACTTGACATAAAGGTTGAAAGCAGTGAATCACAAAAATGGTAGAATGTCATAAAAAAGTTCTAGACTTTTTGAAGCAAAAATTTGTCACTTTTTTTCTTCCAGGTGTAACATAACTCAAAGCTAATTACTTGTAAATCTTTGAATTGAATATTTCATCTGTGAAACCAGTAACTTATCCACCAGTATGCTAAGATCCTTGTCTTCAGGTATACTATTGAGTAGGTTCTATACTGTAACATCAGCCAGGGTTGCTTTGAATAGTTTATGTGAAAATATTTTTATCTATATTTATGCCACTGAAATATTAGAATAATTAGTTTTTGAATATTCTGTTATTTTTTAGCATTTATGGAACAAATGAGTATTATATATTTATGTAAGGGATCCTAGTGTAATCTTGTCGAAAAGTTTAAAGTAGCCTGCCTTCATGTAAAGTTTTTGTTATGGTGACTACTCAGTATTCCAAAGGTCTGATAGTCACAGATTTTTAGTTTTTGCAATATAAGTCAAAATTAAATGAATAAACAAATTTGTAGGTCCACAACCATAAATGCAATCTCAAATGAAAAATTTAAAGGGGATTTGGGGGGCAAGCCACTTCTGATGGCTTGCTCTAGTTTTAAGTACAAACAACAACAAAATTTGAATTGGCATTGTGCTGTACAACTCATTGCATTGGCTCAGTATCAAGATCATTTTAGTGGCTGGAAGCTTTCAACATGTTTAATGAGTCAGAGATAAAACAATTTTTTTTTGTCACAGCACAATGGAATAAAAATATTGAAGGTCCATTCTCTCAGAAGAACTAGGTTCCTCAATCCAAACCTGAGGCGTAAATATGCAGGCTCTGCAATTAACAATAGACATACATACAAGAAAATAACATCAGGGAAATGATGATAAACATTATCCACCCATTCATGAGAAACAGCAACCTTTTAAGTCATATAATGGGAGTTTTGTCATAACATTTCACAAATTTAACCAAACAATGAACTTAACATTTTAACTGTTAAAAAAGAAACATCTTCGGACTATCAGGCCTTTGGAGTAATAGGCACTCAGACTAATGGGCATTTGTCTTTGTTACTGTTGCTAACTTCTACCCATACACAGCTCAATATAGAATTATAAGCCTTTTAATTGTGACTTGGATGTTAAGTAGCTGATTGTGGATTTGTATCCTTGTCCATTATTAGTTTCATTAAAAAACAGGAATGGCCTGTTGATCTTTTTAACTTTAGGAGTTTTAGACCAAAGATGTCAGAAAAGTTACCACAGGGCTAACTGGCTTGTGGTAACCAAGTGTTTATAGCAACATCTCTTTTTGATCTTTTAATGTCTGTCCTTCCTGTCACTGTGAAGCAGAATTCACCAAACATTGTATTGTTCACCCTCTAACAGGGATATAAAAGTAATGATACAAAAATTGTGATACTTTTTAAAAAGTGAAATGTAATGACTTCTTTTTTTAAGGGAGAAGGAGTGTCTTTTAGCAAATTCTACTTTTATTTTGTTGTGGTTTTGTTTACTGTTCATTTATTATTCCTTCTTTCATTTAATTCAATTATGAATTTTTGTTATATTAAAGCAATAACTCAACTTCTATCTAGAGCTTGTTGATTTTGAGTATGACACAAGTTTCCCCTAGTGGTGATGTACAGATATTAATGTCTCGAAAGATTATGTAGATTTATGGCAATAACTAGTTACATAAGATGTAACCTTATGGTGTAACCACTAAATAAAAGCCTTCCTTGATCTTTGAAAACAAGTTAGTTCATGAGATATAGTTTTAAAGAATTATTACTCAGTATTGTTATTGATCTTGAGAAGTGGTTTAATTTTGGAACATTGGGTTATTTTCTGGTGAATTAGGTTCTTTATTCTTCTGGTTCTTTTCCCAATTCCTTAAAAATTAATTGAAATTAATTACATTAAGATTTATGTTGAATTGTTTTTTAATGTTTGTACCTAGCCCTGGCCAAGCACATGTTTACTAATTTTTTTTAGAAGTGATAACATTTGTATTCTAGTTGTATGAAAGTTTTATTTTGGATATCTGTTGTTTTATCTTATAAATTAATTTTGGCTGACTCTGGTTGTAGCAGCATTTCGTTTAGACCACTACATAAGACATCATTGTTTTATTTGTTAAGACACCTCAGTGTGCTGGCATAGTACTGAAGTTACTTGTATGCTGGAATAGTAGTGCCATACTTGAGTTTTCTTTTTTTTCACATTGAAGTAGGTTTTTAAAGAAAAAAAAATTATTGTTCATTGTAATGCAAAAGGAGGGGTATTGTTGAACAGAAGTTGAAAATAATAGGTTGTTCAAAGTAGTCTTATACAAGGGCTTCTTTGAACATGCATTATTTAAATTAAAAAAAAAATGCATCAGAACTAAAGGTTCATCAAAGGTATAGAAAAGCCTAGTTGGTCCTCATATCTGAATACCTTGATAAAGGTTGTACACCAAAAAATATGTTCAAGATCATATGTTTATGCTAAAATATGTTCAGAGTAGCTGTAATTCATGGTATTAAATGTGTGGTACAAATTAGGAAACCCAAGTGCATTACCATGTACTTACTACTTCAGTAATTACAGGTCACTTATCAACTATTTGTCCAAATTACAAATTGATCCAAGTTAATACAACTAGAAATATCCAAGAATTTGAATAATTCAGTATGTATATCTAATGAATATGTAACATCAATTTTCTTAATTAGTAATAAATACTTTTGCCAAATATGGTAGGCATGGTACATGAAGATTCACATGTGATAATTTTACTTCAGTATCTGGAAATATTACTAAGCAGGCAACCTCATCAGTTGTTCTTGGATGAAAGTTTGGAAGCACTGCTAGCAGTAAGGGTGCTAAATTGATCTAGAGCAGTGGTTCTTAACCTTTTCCAGTAATGTACCCTACTTAATTTTCAACATTATCATGTACCCCCAGCACCCCACCACACATATGCATGAACTCTTCTCATCCCATAGTGGCACCATCAGCATTGCTTGAGTTGCACTGACATATAGCTACTATGCAAAACTGCTGTCCTGTACCCCCCACTTGAGAACCACTGACCAAGAGCATAGTGGTCATAGAAGCTTTTTGTAGTTTACTCGTTACTTATAGTTAAGACTATTTATTATTAATATAGGATCTCTCCCTAAACCAGAGGCTCCTCAGTAGCGGGGATTTGATGTAAAAGGTCTGGGGTTTATCCTGTTTTTTTGTGAAATGTATGCAGGTTACAATTTACAGTTTCAAAATTTGACTGGTCACATCATCATCAAAAATCCTACAGTTAATCACAGCACTTATTGTTGGGCTAACTGATGGGTTTGCTAGGTGATCATTCTTTGCCAGTTATTGCAGCATCTGTTTTTTCAAATCAAAGCTAAATAGATCTTTATTACGTAGCTCTAAGCCCTACTAACCATGACTAGAATTTTGCTACTCTTCAGCATGTCATCGTCAATCACCATTATACCTGCATTATTTCGTCAATTACCTGCATGTGAAAGATTCCTAGATGTTTAACTTCCAACCTGTGCAGCTGCTGTGGATGCGAGCACAATGGACTTTTTGACAGTCTTTGTTGAGGCAACTCCATCTATGAAGCCTGAAGGTGTGCTATGGTGGCACTCAAAAATATATTTGACACTAACAAGGACAGTAGTGACACTATTAGTAGCCTTCTGTCAGATCAGAAGATCAAGAACAAGGTTTCTAGCTTCAAATAAACAATGAAGAAAGGCTGCATAATTTGTTTTAAGAGTCATAAAAGAAATAATCAATTAGTGCGTGTGACCATTGCTGGTAAGGTGGTGCTGCTACTCCATGACCCTGTGTCATTTTTACTGTTCATAATTCTCTACTAAAATATGTTACCATAATATGGGTAGCATAATTAGATACAACATATTCCAGAATTTCTAACACTATATGCAACACCTCCAAGAAACAATTACTGGAATTTCTTCTTCCTTGCCATGCCATGCAGAAACACTATTTTCTGATATGGAACATTACCTCTTCTCACATAAATAGTTATTCTCGTTCAGTGTTGCCCTCTATATGCAAAATATTGTTCGCTTTCCTCCTATAATGGCTGAACCTGTTTCAGATGGCCCAGATTTTGTCAGTTTTTCTCCACCTTGTCATGGATTGTATTCCAGGCCTATCTCAGTTGTTTTTTTTATATTCCCCTTTTCCTGACATTGTTTGATGATGATATTTGTATCTTTCTTTTGAACATGGGTACTTGCAAGCCTTGCCCTATACAGGCTTTAATTATTTTTGCCTTAGCTTACCATTAGGCAGATTTTCTTCTTGATTTTATGTCCTTCGAATATTTGTTAATCCTATCCATTTTCTCCTCTACCTAGTTTTTCAGTTTGTTTCACCCTATCTACTTTCCTTCAGGTAATGTTTACTTTCCACATTCTTTGTTAGGTGTTCCATCTATATTTAGGGATTTTTGTGGGATACCTCCTCTTTCTTCCCTCCATGTTGGAATGTTTGCCATGTTTCCCTCCACACATGACTTCTTTACTTTTGGGATCTTGTTTGGTGGGACATTGTTGTTTGTTTATCATCCACTGATAATAGGGACTTAAGGTCAGATCTTTTTCTCCACTGGTCCATTTTTGGGAATCCTCCTGTACAGTTGCATCACGTGGGGTATCTGCTGTGCTATATTCAACCTTTTTTAGTTGCTCTTTTGTTTATTGCTGAGATATTGTCATCTTTATTCATTTACATGTCCATCAACTTCCCATCCTTTACCTGTCCTTACAGGTTTTCTACATTAGTCTTGTATGCTTGATGCTGATTGATGTTCTGGATGAATTTGTCCTGCCTCAATCACTTCTTGGGTTTTCTCCTTTTCATATATAGTCTTTGATCACTTTTGGGTGGGCTATTTCTGTATGTCTGGAATTTCTATGGTACATGTTCTTATTTTCCATTTCTCGGGATGCTATCTTAGGTTTTTTCACTACATGATTCGGTCCCCCAGTTTTGTGCCTTGCCCTTTGGACTTGTTTTGGTTCCATATGTCTTTTATGGGGTGGTCTGCATTTTACCCAACTTTAACATTTTGGAGGAATTTTACTACACCATTCATTGTATGTCTAGCTTTGGTTAGCTCCTTCCAAACAGCAGTAGTCTTAACATGCTCATTTACTCCTTTCACAGTCAGCTTAGGTTGTTGGGTTTTCCAGTTGGATATGTTTTTCCTGTTCCATACTTCATATTCTAGTCTCTTTCGGGTAGGTATTTTTAAAAACTCTTCATCGGGATCATACATTCTCCTCAAATGCATTCAATGGATTTTTTTCTTATCTGAACCATTCATTTGATTTTCCTCTTAATTTTCATCCTTCCCTCATCATCTATACAAGTTGATAGATTATCATATCCTCTACAATGTCAGGTTTACCACTTCCCCTCTCCCTCTTCTGGATTTCTCTTCCCTGATGCTAATCTCCAGAGGCTGGGGATGTGGTTCAATCAGTAGAAGGATTCAGGACAATGGTCTACAGGTAAAATGTCTTATCACCTTCCCACCTTGGCACTTCCCCCAGTCCGGATTTGAGTACTCATGTTTCCTTTCGACTATTCAATGGTAGTGGACTCTATCACTTGCCAAGGGGACACTCATTCTTGTTCTTTTTGTGGTAGACAGTGGATATCCCTTTATGAACCCACACACTTGACATATGTCTCCTGGAGGGTCATGTTCCAGGTGATTTTGTCCATGTTGCTGATTGACTTTCCCATCTCATCACACCTTCTTCCAAGGAGTGACTCTTGATCTTCCAACTTTGTGGGGCTCTCCACGTGAAGTTTTGAGTTTTTTTTTATCAATTCCCAGCTATTTACCTCTTTTGTTTTTGGTCTTGTTCTTTGTCCACTTGTAATGGCTTTTGATACATTCAGCTAGGATTACATTCAGTTTATAATGTTAGTTTTTTTTCTCCATCTGTTAGCTTTTTCCCCAAAATGTTTGTTCATCCATGTGACTCTGGTTCAGGTCTTTGGATTGTAGTTGATTTGCCATCATTATGATCTTCTTTCCTACCTCCACGAGGATGTTGTCCCCAGTGGTCTGGGTTTTGGATTGTAGTTGACTTGCTGGTGGTATGATTCTCTTTCCTCCTCCCTCATGGATTTTGGTTCCTGCCGGCCTGGGTTTTGGATGTAGTTGACTTGCTATGGATGGTCTGTTGCACCCTAGCCACTCTACATCTAGAGGCACATCCTTTTACTCACATCCACATTTATGTACTATGGGATTGAGATTGTGTGGTTTGGGATCCCTATCCAACCACAGTTCTTTCCCTATTGGATGTGCTACTCCATATTTCCACCCATGACTTTTTCCACTCTGGGTGAAGAGTATACTTGGTACAGAAGTGGTACGGTCTCTCATGTATGATCTTTGACTCCAAAGATTTCCTTTGAAGGATGCTTCTTTCTTTCTCTTGCACCGGTCCTTCCACCTATTCAACGTGGGATTCTAGCTATTTATGTGAGCGGAGGTAATGTACTGTATCAGAATTTATAATTTTCTTATACTGAAAATGTATTTCTGATAAGCACTTACCACCCTTTCTCCCCACTAAAAACCAGTGTTTTCATTTTCTGCCAAAACTAAACTCAAAGTGATAGTTTGGTAGAATTGAATAGAGGGATTCACATGCATGAAGAGAGTGTGTTGCACACTTTATGGTGGAGGGTGGTAACATGATAATTTGCATGAGAGATACATTTGAATCAGACAATTCCAGATGGGTTGGAGCTTCAAGGCTTATGGCATGCACAAAAAAAAATTGCATATAGAGTTTGAGGGAGAGGTCCTACGTATTATTATTATTTTAGAATTTTTAGCAGCTCTTCTCGTAAAAGTTATTACATAATTTCATCAGTAAATTTTACTAGCTTATTAACCATGCCTCATCAATATTACTAATGTCAATGAGAAAAAGCAAAGATCCAAGCACTGACGACTCCTGAGACATTCCACTTGAATAAGGTCCAGCTTAACAGGCTTCATTAATAACAACCTTTTGCTTTCTTACATCCAACCACCCTATAGTTGAGTATTCTTTCCTTAACACCTACTGTTATGGTTATTTTGTATGTTACTTTATCAAAAGCTTTTTAAAAATCTAAGTACATGAAGTACACATCCTTTCTATCATCTAGACCAGTACTTCTCAATCTCTTCAATACTAGGAACTGGCTCACTGCCTCCATAAACTGTTGTGTGCCACTAAAAGGCAAGTGCAATGAAAACCATCAGCAGTTATATATATATATATATGAATATTATTGTTTGTTTCTGTGAAATCCCTTGGACAGACAAGGTGGTTTTAATGGATCACCACTTCTGCCTATTGTAAAAGCACAAGTGTAGAGGACAAAGTTTTGAAAGTCTTTCACTATTTCATTTTCAGGTCAGTTATTGGCAATCATACCTCACCCTAACCTGGAAATGAAAAACGGAAGACTTTCGAAACATTGTCCTTTACACTTGTGTTTCTATAACAGGCAGTTGCCATCCATTCAACTAAGTTTCATCATCAGTAAGTGATATTCTTAAAAAAATATAACAGATTAGTAAAGCAAGTCTCTCATTGGTGCATCCATATTTGCTTTTTCTTCTATGAAATTTCACTAAATGATTTTGTAAAGTTTATATCGGAATAGAAATTATCCCACAACAGAAGTGAGATTGACTGTCCTATAATTTCCAGGGCAGCTCTTATCATCCCATTTAAAAATGGGATTAATTTTTGCAAAAAAACACCTGCCCATTGTAGTTACCTACCAAAAATGAAATGGAGAGACTTCCATATCTGATCTTTGATTTCATTCAAAACTCTTTGGAAAACCCTTTGTGGCCCTCATATTCTATTTGTTTTTAATCTTTCTACTTACAATCAAAGGATTAATATCTACTTGATTCAGTGATTCAGGTCAATTCCACTATTTCCCATAGAAAGCTCAGTATCAGGAATATAGCTTATATATTATCTTGTAAAAACAGGAGGGGAAAAAGGCATTTAAAAGTTCATCCATCTCATAGTCATCAACAAACATCTTGCCATTAGCATACTGTAAGGGCTCAATTCCCATTTGACATTTTACTTAACTTAACATACTTAAAAATTTCTTATTTTTAGTTTTAACATTATCAGCCATGGTTTTGTCATAAGCCTTTTGGATTTCCTAATTCTCTTTTTAACCAAAATCTGTAGTTTTCTTAAAGTCCTGTAAATCTTACAATCTATCTGTCAATTTAAACTTCTACAACTTACATATATATAGCATTTATCATAGTAGATTGACAAGATTTATAAGAGTAATAAGTGGTTTTAGTTTGGGGAACATACTATATGTTTAAATAGAACATTAATCTATCTTTTTCTTGGTATTTAAAAAATCTAAATTTAGAAGAAGAAATCATTGTTTAAAAATTCCAGCTATGAATAAATGGTTTTTTGACAATATCATTAAAATTGAAAAAATATTGGAAGAAAACTTTTATATAAATATGAATATATATAAAATTTTTTATTGAAATTTGTTGTAATCCCATGTTTTATATGTTGAATGGAAGTTTATGTGCCATAAGACAAAATTTTATTTAATGTAATAATGTTATGTAACACAGTTTCAAATTTTGTAAAGAATTACAAGATGTGTTTCACTTGATAAGGACATACATTTCATAATAATTCATCTTTTTTGTGTATTTATTGATATTCATATGCTTGTTTATTTCTAATTAGTTTTGTTGAGGTCTCATAATCAGAAACTTGGGGATTTCATTAAGAAAATGAAACTGTATGGAGCAAGAATGAATAAATAATTTCATCATTACTGAAGCCAACAAGTATAATCTAGAACACCATGTTTTTCTTGAAGATCAAGATTTGCAGTATTGACTCTGTACTTAACACTCAGTCTGAAATGGCCTCAAGACTCTGTATTGCCACCTTGCAGATTATTCTAATTTCTACTGTTTGTTTTGATGGAATGAGTAAGTGTTGTTCTTTTCTAAATGTTTCTCAAAAGACATTAAAGCTGCTCTTTTTTGTTTTTGCAAAAATGGGGTATCAATCTTATAGGTTAAAATCAATTGAACAAGGTATGGGCAAATTAAATGTACATATATGTACTTGCAGTATGAAATTTATTGAACTTAAAAAATCTAAATTTAGTTATATCCATTGAGGTTGGCATAAAACTAAATAACTTATACATGACCTGTTCAAAATAAAAGGATAAAACATTTTTAAATTCTTTTGGCTTCTAATTTTTGAGTCTTTGCTATTATGTCATTAAACTTGTAATTTTTTGTACATTCTGCTGGAATTATTTTTATGATGTGTGAATAATTATTGCCAATAGCTTATAAAATTTGTGGTCTATTTATAAAAGGTGGGTAATAACATAGTTTGGATTAGTTTTGAGCCAAAGAAACATAAATGTTATCAGATGCTGTCACCATCTGATGAGTAAATCAGGAATTTTGGCCAGAACAAATATTCCCATAAAGCTTTACTATTTTAAAAAATCTTTATTATATAACAGGGTTTTTGATAACCCAAAACTCCGAACATTTCACAAACACATTTCCAAGTTCACTCACAAAAAATGTGTTATATAGGTACAATTCATCCATGGAAGTTTTGGCTTATTCTCATGAAAAAGTAAAAAAAAAAGTATTATTTTTAGTGTTATGACTTTAAGGTAATCATTAACATCAGACACATGTACATTACGGTGCATCTAATTTATTTAGTCAAATTTTAGTTTGTAATTGCTAATCAGCAGGGTGTGCAATAGTTGCCTTTTATTATAAGAATTAATATTATGAAGTATGAAACTCCTCCAATTACATCTTCAACTGCTGTGTGTTGAACTGCTGTTCAACTACGTGTTTGGGTTATTTTGTTAATACTGAACTTTCTACATCAAAATCCCCAAATCCTAAAATAAACAAATGAGGACACTTTTTCGAATGGTATTGAGAGAAGCTGACAGGTACTGTATTTCAGATAGAGCTGCTGCAGCCCTTACCTTAGCTGTTTTGGAAGATAGGGGCATTATTCAAGAAAAATGACAATGCTAAAATTGTCAATAAAAAACAACATACGTCGCGAACAAGAAAGATGCCGAGAAATATTATTGACTTCTGATGAATCAAATTGTATTAAATCTATCTACTTTGATGATTGAAAAGATATAACTAAAATTGTCATCATTAAAAATGGGCAAAAACATTATAAACATGTAGTCATGGATCACATTTCTCCTTCTGGAACATCAGAAGATATAAAAAATTTTATCATTCAGTGGTTTGAAGATAAAATTTCATCTGATCATTTAGTCACTGTAGGTTGTAACGGCACATACATCAATACTGGAAAAAAGCTGAAGTTATGTGGCTTCTTGAATTGCACTTAGGAAGACTTCTACATTGGCTAAATTTGTTTGTTACATGCCAGTGAGTTATCCCTGCATCATCTAATAATGCATCTTGATGGAGTAACTCTAGGAATATCTGCTTTTTCTGGTCCTCTTGGAAAGAAACTGAAGACTTGTGAATCACTCGCTTCAGTAAACTTTGTTTCAATCAAAATTACAGAACCATTACCGAATATTGACCATCTTTAGGATCTTAGTGCCGATCAAAAATATTTTTATGACATGTGCAATGTAGTAGTGTCAAGTCATTATTCAAGAGAACTTACTTTACGTTACCCTGGTACAACGAACCATTCTCGCTGGTTAACAACATCAAACAGGACTTTACGTTGCAACTTCTAACCCATTCAAGGAGCTTAATTTGTTAGTGAGGTATGTAATTGAAGTGTATGCAACAGGCTGGTTTAATATCAATAAAAATCCCTCATGCAGCCTTGGCTCACTGCACCTTTTTCTACTTGTAAGAAAATCATGTTTTCTTCCTGAATCAGAGAAATATGTGGTGGATAGAGTAATCTGGGGGGAATTGCATATTTTACCTGCCCGGAAAATTTGCTGATTGCAATGCTTGAAGATGATTCTAAGGCTATCAGACAACTTGCTCTTCATAGAATATTAACTGCTCGATCTACCTCAAATTCTAGAAGAATGAGCCAGTTTGTGGTTCCAAATATTAATATAGAAGCTCAACATTACACTGATCTAATAATGTGGACTGAGAGTAGAGCCACCACTTAATAAAAAAAAATAATAATATAAGCAATGAACAAATGGTGTCTTTCATTAATCAAGATGACATGTCAGTTTTCAAGTTCAGCATGCCGTGTCACTCACAAGCAGTTGAAAGGCATGTTAAAATAGTAACAGCAGTGCAGCAGCTGTTTGTGACTATCGCAGAAGAAAGGTATTCATTAAAGCAAAACTTCAATCTCGCAAAATCATGAAAAAATTTAATAACAAGAAAAAAAACATAATCCAGTAATTCTATTGCCCAGCGGAAAAGTGGGCATGGGTAGAACTCAGTATGCAACTATCTCCTCATGGTGAGTTCTGGGTAATTTAGGATATAAAACTCCTAAATTAGCTAAATCTTGCATATCCAAAGTTATGATACTTTGATTTCTCATAGACTTTGATTATGGATATTTTAAGGAAAATAACCCCTCCTCGCGGCAGTACAAGATATAATTTTAGAAGCCTGAAACTTACCCACAAAATTACTACTATTAAAAGGCACCAATCACATACTGTGTCGATAATGATATAAGAAATTTGTATATTTTCGATGCTCCCTGAAGTAAATAGTAAACATTACAAATTGGCTTAACAAATGTAATATGTAACTTAGCTCATGGGTGTCATACAGTATCCTTTCTGTGCGGAAACTTCAGTCACGCAACTATCAGTGAAATGAGAGAGAAATTGACTATTTATGGGTCAAGTAGTTTAACCTGTTAATTGGTCACGACTAATTAGTCTGGCCTTCACCTTGTCGCTGGAAGATACATGACTAATCAGATTATCATGTAGCCTGTTTGTAAGGTTGTCGATAATTGATTGTGAGCTGTTACTTGTTGTACCTTTGAAGTGCAGTAATTGACAATCAGCCTTATTGTTAAGCATGCCACACTTGTTTTAAAGTGGTGAAAATTGACAACTATCACCATTTTCAAAGTGAATATTCAGAGTACATCACAATGTCACAGACAAAAATTTTTTTGTTTTTCATTCACCATGACAAAGTCACAAACATCTACACATATACATATATACACAATGAACCGATAAAAAAAAAAATATAACTATGATATAAAGGTAAGACATAACTGTTAAAGTTTTCTCACCTTAATAATTTAAGAGTTTATCCTCATAATTTGACATCCAAGGGTATTTAACTCCCCTAGTTCTGAAATCCTCTGGAGAACCCTGTATAAGCCTGAATTTTTCTGTCCAATAACAAACTTTTGTGCTTAAACTACTATACTTATAGCTCAAGCTGTATGAACCCTCTCACTGGTAAAAAAATGGTAGTTTGTTTTATTAAATAACTTATTAATTTTCCAAGCTTCACTTATTCACAAAAACAAATTATATTAATTTGTCTAATGGTACATTACCATTAAATAGACTAATTACAAATTTTGAATCAAAACTGTGAAATTCCCTCATTTAAATACAGTTACAATCTTTGTAATATTTAAGTAGCTTACAGCTACAAAGTTTGTAGGATGTAAGAAAAAAGTCTTCTACATAAAAATTTTTCAGTGATATAGAAAGTGCTTTTGTTTGCATAAATAGCACAAGCAAACAAGTGATGAAGCTCTCTCTCCTATGTTAGTCAACATTCTTACCTGAATCTAAAGCCTGCATGAAGCACAATGTTCTCCTGAGTTAAATGTTGTTGAAATGGCCGTTTATTGTTGACTGATTTGAGATGAAGAGTTAAGTAAATTATTGTAAACATGTGACACTCACATATACTGAGTTGCAGTGTATAAATGCTTAACTATCAAGTTAGTTAATGAATTTTAGTTAATATTTTTGTTTCGATGGTTGTTTGTGTGTGGGTATTATCATGTAAGGTTCAATCTACCAGTGCCTGAGTTTAATGTTTAAAATGAGTTGGTGAAATGTGATTGTTTTCATTGATCAGCATGTTAATGTCACTTGTCAAGTGTTTATGAAATGTCCTTTGTAGCTTCCTGAGAATTCATGATGTGTCTATACTGGGCAAGTCGAAGCTATTGTAGATGATCTAGTCACTTTGTTACAGAGTGAGATTATCACACTATATTTATATAGCATTTAGAAAAATTTTTGCCCTATATGTCCTGTAATTGTGAGGGACAGAATTTAAGAAGAGCATCAGGTCAAAGGCAAAATGAATAATATTGTCTTTCCTTTAACAATTCCTGTGTACACCCAATGTCACATAAAAGTTATAGTTTAGGCTTAGACAAAATAATTGACACAATATGCAAGTAGTTAACATGGAAGTAAGTTATTTGTGTGTAATGATATAATGATGTGTTATGTTAATTATTGTGCCAATAGATGCCTGCATCTGAAGGAAGAAATAATAATTATAGTATTTTGGCACTTGTGTATAAAGTTAAAATCATAAATAATATTCAACGTTAAACTGGTACACAATTAAAAACATTTTATTTAGGCCTATCTATGGCCTTCAAAAAGTTGACGACTCTACATGATTTGACGTTACACCATCATCCTCAGGAGTCAAAGTGTAACATCGAAACATGTAGAGTCGTCAACTTTTTGAAGGCCATAGATAGGCCTAAATAAAATGTTTTTAATTGTGTACCAGTTTAACGTTGAATATTATTTATGATTTTAACTTTATACACAAGTGCCAAAATACTATAATTATTATTTCTTCCTTCAGATGCAGGCATCTATTGG